TACTTAAACAGAGAGCGAGACTGTTAAATGAAAAACTGAAAGAAACTGAAAATTTCGTAGCTAGTGATGGCTGGCTACAACGCAACGATTCAAAACAAGATATGGAATTCGACTGCTGTCTTATATCTGGTGAAAAATTATCAGCACAACCACAATTAGTGCAACCATTCAAAGAAAAATTGATGAAAACAATTACCGAGCTAGATTTAAGAATGGAACAAATTTACAACGCAGATGAAAGTGGCCTTTATTGGAAAATGTTACCAGAGAACAATTATGCTGCATCATTTGAAAAATCTGCCCCGGGAAGAAAGCCGGAGAAACAACGAATAACGTTTCTAGCTTGCACTAATGCTAATGGTTCACACAAAATAAAGCCACTGGTAATTGGGAAAGCAAAAAATCCGCGCTCATTTAAAAATGTTAATATCCCTGTTGATTATGACTGTTCAAAAACCGCTTGGATGACTAGCAGTATATTCCTGAAATGGTTCCACAGGTGCTTTGTCCCTCAGGTATGACAATCAATTATCACAAATGCTCTATTCATAATTTGAAGATGTGTTTTCAATTTGTAGGTAAAAGGTTTCCTAAAACAACAGAAGCTTCCAATAAAAGCGTTGTTACTATTGGATAATGCACCAAGTCATCCTCCCGAGCAACAACTGAGGAGCAGGGATGGGTCAATTTTCGTCATGTACATGCCGCCCAACGTAACACCGTTAATTCAACCGATGGACCAGAATATAATAAGGCTCACCAAACTATACTATAGGAAGTTTCTACTTTCGTCTGTCTCATCAAAGAATCCTGAAAACTTATCTGAGGCTTTAAAAAAAGTAACATTACGAGAAGCTGTTTTAGATTTACGTATGGCCTGGAATGAACTTTACCAGCAAACGATTCAAAAATGTTGGAACAATCTCTTTTGTACCAATAATAATAATAATAATATTTATTTACTCTAAAATACAGGGAACATGAAACGAGTAAATAAATATAATATATCCATAGGAGGACAACGCCTGTGCATGGATCATATGTATGTTGAATTGCAAAATATAATAAAATAGAGAGAAAAAAGAAATTATTGGTAAGAATGGTAGAGCATTTATTGTGTAATATTTGAGATTATTTTATTAATTTGATTTCTCCCAATCGTGTTAATAAATTTTTTTCATTTTTTTTTGAAGCCTAATGTATTGCGTAATTGTTTTAAATTATTTGGTAAATGTTCGTACAATTTTGGAGCTATATACAGGTGACATCGTTTCATTAGGGATTTGTTTGGTTTAGGAACATTTTTTGCGCGTAATTTATATCTGGTTTTATGATTATGTTTAATTATGTCGTGTTCACTAATAGTTTTGTGATAATGAGTGATGGTATATAAGAAGTAAAGTTGTTTAGTATCATATACTTGTGCATCATTATATAAGTCATTAGTTGGGTAGAATTTTGATTTGCCTAACATTGATTTTAAAATTCTTCTTTGAAGTACATCTAAATCGTTAAAGTATGTGGTGCATGCAGCACCCCACACTACTATACCATATGTTATGTGTGGCTCGACTAAAGCTTGATATATTATTTGTAGATAATATTCAGTTAATATACCGGTTAGAAATTTTATTTTATATGCTATGAATCTAATTTTCTTTAGTATGTGAGAAATATGTACATCCCATCTCAAGTGGGGATCTAGATAAATTCCTCAATATTTTGTATCATTAACTCTATTGATTTTTATATTTTTATTATTTACCTTAAACCGAAGGTGGTTATATTTTGGTAGATGATTAGATAGTGATGAAAATGGTAAAAAATGAGTTTTAGTAAAGTTAATTGTTAATTTTCGGTTATTAAACCACTGAATAATTTTGCAAAAGTCATTTTGGATAATATCTTTTAAGTCGTTCCAATCCTTACCTTTATAGAGTATAGCAGTATCGTCTGCAAAACTGACTATTTTACCAGTATTGTTGATTTTGAATATATCGTTTAAATAAATATTGAATAACAGAGGACCCAAAATTGTACCTTGTGGAACACCACATTTAACAAACATTTCTTTACTATACGAGCTTAATAATTTTACTGATTAATAATAATGAAGATGATGAAGAAGACGATGTCCCCTTAAGCGTAATTAGAGAACGTTTGCGATCCAATAATGATAATGTTATTAATGTGTCATTGGATGTTGTTGATTTATTGAAAACAGTGAATCCCAACATTGTTTGTACTCCTGCTGATATTAATTTATGGAACGACGATAAGCAGACGAATGATGCTGATAAGGAGGAGGATATGGACAGTGAGGATGATGAGAACGATCCTATTGAAGTCAGAAGTGTAGTGACTGACGCGCAAGCTATACAAGTTTTTAACCAAGCTTTAGATTGGAAGACAATGCTAAGCGCAAATTTACGCAGACAAAAAATAATTATTTTTCTTCTAATTAAAAAAATACTTATCGCTGTTAGAATATTTGTTTATTTTGTTATAAATAGTATGTATTAAACGTTTCTTTTAATAAATCAAATATTATATAAATCACGTTCGCTAATGTAAACATTTCGATAATGTGAACCACACTTGGATTAAATTAGTTTACATTATCGAGCGTCTGCTGTATAACGATTCCTATGTCGCGGGACGGCGAGTTTTTTGCAACCGTTACGATATTCGGCGTGTACGTGATGCTCCGTCGAAAAATTTAGTCCTTGCATACTTCGGCGGATCCAGGATTTGTGTCTGGGGAGGGGGGTCACACTGTTCAAAAAACTTCATGTTCAGGAAGATGTTCTTCTCAGCGGATCCACAACTTACCATTTTCCACAATTCTGCATATAAATCCATGAGCTTTTTCTGGCGTATCATCAATTGTCTCCAAACTATCACTTTTTGCATCAGTATTGTCATCACATTCATCATTATGAAGGACGCTGAGAGGGAAGGCCTCGAACGTCAGTAACATTACTACTGTGAGGAAAATTCCTCGACGAAGACTGGAGAGTGACATACCAACAGATAGAGGATACCTTACACCTTCATGCTTACACCGCATAGTCTGACGGAAGAGCAGAAGACTCGTCGTACGACTTGGTGCCGAAAGATGCTGAAACTTGCAATCTCGGTATGCCTAAAGTCATAGAGTCTATGAAAAACCTACTGCCTTCGGTATCCGCCGGGTGGTACCTCCATGCTCGACGAAAAAAGATAAAAATCACTAAAACTTCGATTTTTTGCGTTTCAGAAGATCCTGATTAAAGTCTCGATAAAAATACTAATATACTTTTATATATTTATTATAAATTTTGATTCCACATAACATTACCACAGAATATTACCGTCTACAGCTTTATACATCAAAAGTATGAAAATAATATTAAATTGTTATTTACACAGTAATAATTTACACGAGAACTTTTATAATTAAATAGGTAACATGAATGCGGACTACTGGCACATGAATACACTTCAATAAATAAACCTGACGTTACTAACTGTATCACATAAAATTAAAATTAACACATTTGCACTTACGTCGAGCTAGCAAGAGTGCAGTACTCCATTTTGCCTAAAAATAGTGTTTTAGCAGTCACCAATACCGCATACGTAAACGTTACCCTTATTTGACATTTGTTACACATGGATCAAAATGTCAGATAATATTTACGTCTGCTGTATTTTCAATAGCCAAAACTATCTCTAATGTTATGACACCAAAAATATTTCTTAAAAGTACATGTCTACGTACCTTGTGCCTTAATGCACCTACTTATCTGTATGGCATAAAAACATCAGTAATATCTTTACAAATAATCTAAAGTTGCGTTTAGTCGTATAAATATCATGATTAAGGAGCCTTTATTTTATACAGGGTGATACACAAGTCGCGACCAAAAATGAAACATCATACACAGGACCGCATTTTAGTATAAAAATCGTACGCCACTGTTTTTATTTCGAAACGCGCAATTTTTCGAATTTTTCCTTGAATATGCTACAAATGATTACTATTGTGTCTATTCCTAGAGCGCACTGTTTTCGTAAAAAAAAGCAGTGGCGTACTATTTTTGTTTGGAAAATAATGCCGCTAATCCTCCGTATATCCGCTACTGATGCATGTTAATTTCAGGTAAAGACCTTTAAATGTGGACAACACTTAGGTAAATCCACATACCAAATTTTAGTTCATTCCAGTTGACGGTTTTGAAGATATAAAAAAAAATTATTCTTAAACTTCAACGCCCCGTACCTTTTCAATGAAGGCCTCGTGGAAAAATGTTACATAGAAGTCCCCCCTCAAAATGCGGTCCTGTGTATGATGTTTCATTTTTGGTCACGACTTGTGAATCACCCTGTATAATCACATTTTGAGGATTCACAATGTCACCATTGTGATGCTGGTCTTATTTTATATTATTTGACTCTTTTCTCTAAGTTGAGATATCGAAGACAATAAAATTACTGCTGTAAATCTCATTGATTAAACGACATCTTTGCAGAATCTTGTGGTTATAAAGTTATGGTCACTATATTGCCTGGATTTTCCAAAAAGAGAATCAATCATCCTGTAGAAATGTTAAAGCAAATTGTATTTGCAAAAAATGATGACAATGTGATTTAATTCCAACATATTGATTAAAATGCCGATCTCAACAAAAATATCTATGAAGTTCCTGTAATCTTTTCTCAAAACCTCTCATAAAATACACTTAACTTTATAAGCGTATTGTTGATAAATATGTTATTTAACGCCTTTAAATTATTTGCAAGAACTAAGTAGTTTACGATGTAGTTAAAAATTCTATTAGATACTAACTCTAAAATTTTGACTTCTATGTCAAACAAAATACTGTTTGAATAAAAACAGAGTTAATAATAGTAATAGCAAATTGATGACATGTTACTGTTGCTGACAAAGGTATAAATATTACTATTACTGTTGCCTAAAGACTTCCCTTTTATGCTAGATCTATACAAAATTAATCTCAATGACTTCGTAAGTATTCTCTTTCTATCCTTTTCAATTCCTTAATTGGTTTCCTGAGAGTTGTCTGGATCCAGTCAGTGTCAGGTCTGACAAAACCAGCGATTTGTCCTTCTTGCTTACAGCCCGTGTCCCAAGTGTAGATTCCTGCGAATTCGTAGTGACCTTGGTCGTTCTCACAGGCTAAAGCGCTTCCATAGTCCACCTGTAAGGGTATGTCACATTAGAAGTGTTACACCCAGAAAAAATAATTTCTGCTACTTTATTTTTTTGGCAATGAGGTGGTCTTATATCAAGAATGAAACGATAACATCCTCACGAAATTTTATTGACAGGAATTAATAATGTGTTGGGCGACCCCGCAGCTAGATACACTCCTGTATACGTCTAGGCACTGTGCTACCTCCTGTTGGAAAACCGTTCTTGAGTACAGGGTGCGCCATCTTTTATGTCGGTATGTAAACATGAAATAACTTTGAAAACGAAAAACTGATTTCTATATATTGGGTATTTTTATTAAATATGGTTCTTGGGACTAATTTTTGAACACAACATCTATCAAGTGGCCAAAACAAGCTGTGCCCGTTTTGCTGCGTTTTCCTTTACTTTTTCGAGCGTCTCTGGTGGTATAGCGGCGATTGCGATACGAATGTTTGCCTTGAGTTCTTCAGTGGTCTGGGTCTTGCTGGCGTACACTTGACTTTTTAAATAACCCCACAAGAAGTCCGGTGGGGTCAAATCTGGAGGCCTGAGTGGCCAGTCAATGTCACCTCTTTTTGACATCAGACCTACAGGGAATTTTCGTTGCAGAAACTGGATTGTTTCATTTGCAATGTGGCAGGGCAGGGTCTTGTTGAAACCAGTAACCATCAAGACCTTTTTCACGCATTTGTGGGACAGACATAATGAGCCAACATCCACCGATATCGATTTCCATCGAGTGTTTCGTTTTCGTTGAAGAACAATGGTCCAATGATGGTTTTGGCGCAAACGCCGGCCCAAACAGTCACTTTCCGTTCATGCCACGGCATTTCTTGGATCAAAAGGTTGATTCTCACTATACATTCCGTAACCGTTCCGTAAATTATTGAAATTAAATATTCGCCTTCGCTTAAAGCAGGCTATTGCGCGTGTATTATCCGTAAGGTATACTGTGTATACAATCAGATTGTACGGAACGTTTACGAAACTGATATGGAATGGAAACGGAATGTATAGTGAGAATTACCCTTTATGTGGATTTTCCTTCCCACAAACGCGGCAGTTTTGCTTATTAACGCCGCCAGAGAGCGCGAAATGGGCCTCGTCGGTCATCAGAATTTGCTTCCAAAAATCAGGTGCAGCATCAACTATGCGAGCGACTGTTTGGGCATATTCCAAGCGACGTGGACGGTCAGTTGGCAATATTTTTTTGTGTTAACTGCACCTTATAAGGAAACAAATGCAAATCATCCTTCAAAATGCGCCGCAACGTTATAGTTAAAAATTTCTAGGAAAGTTTATTAGGGGAATAACAAGTGATTGAAATGATTCTGTTAAGAATTATCCGTTAGGGGAGGTAACGAGCATAATTTGGAGTCAGGAGCTTATATTTATAATTAATTTAGTGAGATAAATTAGTTTGTATGGCTTCTACAGGGTGACTTTGAAGTTGAGTCATTAATTTTCAGATAATGATTGTAGAAGGAAGATAAACCAAAATATGTGTGTAAAAATAAAAAAAAATTAAACAAATAATTTACCTTGTTTTATACCGACAAGTATTTCAGTGCGGACCTGCATTTGATCGTGAGGTCTTGGAGCACCGGCATGCCGTCCATATGTGAGGTCTTAAGTCAAATGATTCACGAACCCGTTGTACTACATTAACAAAGGCACGAGGGGTTGGTTGCACTCGATTGGGAAACCGATCCGCATAAACATGTGCCATTTTTTATTTCGTTTGAGCCACGCAACAGACACCACTATCCACTACCGACTGACACTGACTGTATACAACTGAATGAAATAATTGTAAAAACATCGTTCCAAATTCTTTCGCTTTTTTGTTTCCGATGCGATGAACCGATAAGGCGAATTATATCCGTTGTCGCCAAACACGAGCACATAATATTATTATTGAGACAGGGCGGTACTCAAACTTCCAAAGGGCTATAACTTTGTTACTTAATTTTACCAGAAAAATGGTAAAGGAAAAAAACATTTCTTTTGATCAGATCTACTTACTGTTAAAATAAATGACTCAACTTCGAAGTCACCCTGTATAGAGATAGCTAAGATAGTTATGTTTATCTAAATTTCTTAGCAGCCATTAATTAAAATTATAATTATTGACGATCTCCCACTGTCCCGAACTCAAGAAAATTCGGAACCAATCGACGGATAGTGCTGTCAGACGGTGCCCGTTTGCCACGATATTTTCGACGATATGCACGTAGCGTTAACACAACTGAACGACGATTTTCAACGCACATTGTGACTATTTCGGCGCGTTGTTTCGGTGTAAAGCCGTTCATTGTTAAAATTGTAGTAAATTGACGTTTCAGAAACACGTGTAACCAAATCACTCGGTTGGTAAATATCAAAGACATTCGATATTTCAATACCGACATAAAAGATGGCGCAACCGGTATTATTTTTCCATTGTAGCTAGCAAAGACACAATTCGAAAAAATCACGCCGACATTCATAAAGACAGTACTTTAATATCTAGCTCTAGAAATTTTTTGGTAAGTACTCACCTTGCACTGGTCTATATTCGATTGTCCACAGATCATGTTTGGCGAGTAGTTTGGTAGAGATTCCTTGAATGTATCTGAGAGTTGCTCCTGGCACTTTTGACTGTCCATAACGTTTACGTCGATGTGGTGCATGATGGCTCCTCTCGCGTGCACTAAAAAATGAATTAATAATAATTCGCTTTATTGGTTAATCAAAAGGTGGAGTTTACATTGTTTCCTCTTCCACTCAACCTTACAAAGATACAGAAAAAATGGTACAAATAGAATAATGTAAATAGTAAGTATGAGTTCAATGTTTCACTGAATCAATTAAGGGATAAAAACTGAATACAGGGTGTTCCTTAATGTACGCGAATATTTAAGGGTATGAATCTACATGAACAATTAATGTTAGTTTGCTTTATAAACTATGGACCAAATTAATTAATATTTTCAGAACCTCTTCAGATGTTTCACTGATATTTAGTACGTAATGAAAGTTAATAAAGTCGCATATTTTCACTGCAAAAATAATTTTTAGCTTAACAGTGGCGTGCGTACGGGTATTGACTTTGATATTTTTTAAGAAAAAAATGGTACGCCAATAGTTTTTTGCCAAATAAAAATTATTTTTGAATTTCCCGTTCAATTTAAAATAAATGATCTCTCTTGAATTGGTTTCCTTCGATGCGCCATTTTTGAGTAAAAAAATAAAAACCGTTCTATAGTCCAAATTAAACACATTAGATGTAATGAACAACAACTGACAACATAAACATAATATTAAAACCAACGAAATGATTACAAAAATAGTTGAAACTAGCCCCCATCACTTAGCATGCATGCTTCCGCCCTCCTTCTCATGGAATTGCGCACTCGTTGAAATATCCCTGGAGTGTTTTTTCTTCTATCACAAACTGCAATCATTCTTTCTCTTAATTCCTCTACAGTGTTAATGGGACTTGTGTACACTAGTGTCTTAAGAAAGCCCCACAAAATGAAATCTAAACTGTTGAGGTCTGGGGACCTTGGTGGTCATTCTTGGGGCCCAGCGCGGCCAATCCAACGATTTGGATAAACAGTTTGTAAATAATTGCGAACCGCTACACTGAGATGCGCTGGTGCACCATCATGCATTCGAGAAAAATTAGCTTCGTCAGTGAACAGTGATTCAAATTGCGGATTTTGTATAAGTTTTTGAAGATACCACTGACAAAAGGTCACACGCCTTGGAAAAGCAATGGGAAGTAATGCCTGTACTCTTAAAATATGGTATGGACATAACAAAAAATCCACTAAAATTCTCCGAACAATTTGATGGCAAATACTCGTATTTAAGTGTCTAGCGATCTTCCTCGTTGTCGTTTCAGGATGTTCTTCGACTTCGTGCAGCACTACTTTCTCAATTTCAGGTGTTCTCACACTACCTTCAGATGTTCCTTTTCGGACAGAACCAGTTTCAACAAGACGACGATGAATATTAGAGAAGGCTCAACTATCTGGCAAAGCACGATCGGGATATCTCTGGAGCTAAATCCGTCTGGCTTGCTCACCATTACCGTCCACAAGGCGGTATACGTAATGCAGTGACATATCCAGAGCAACTAGATATTTATTGCTAAATTGCATTCTTCAATATTATTACATTAATTTCTCGGAAATAGAACGAATTTTATTTTTTTACTCAAAAATGACGCATCGAAGGAAAGCAACTCAAGAGAGATCATTTATTTTAAATTGAACGGGGAATTCAAAAATAATTTTATATCGCAAAAAACCATTGGCGTACCATTTTTTTCTTAAAAAATATCGAAGTCAATACCCCTACGCACGCCACTGTTAAAGCTAAGAATTCTTTTTCAACTGAAAAATATGCAACTTTATTAACTTTTACTACGTACTAAATATCAGTGAAATATCTGAAGCGGTTCTGAAAATATTAATTAGTTTCCATTTTTTTTCTTTAAACTTCAACACCCCGAGTTTTTGTAAGGAAACATTTTGGACCATAGTTTATAAAGCAAACTAACATTAATTTTTCATGTAGATTCACACCCTGAAATATTTGCATATCATTAAGGAACACCCTGTATGTACATAATACCATTTCATTTTTGCTGTTTTTTAAAAAATATAAGATTCAATTGTCTTCTTAAATGGGAGTTACCTCAGTCCCAAAAACGCCTGAGGGATGTTGTTATATTCCTTAGCTATTTGATAGCAAAAAGTCCTTTCATATAATACAGTAGTTTTATGCGTAGCAAGAGTGATGAGAACTTGAATCCAATATGTGAACTTCTGATCGAGATTTATTTTTTCATACAGGCACGTAGGTCTCTTTTGTGTAATGATTGTATGACATAAGGTAATCGCAGAAATTTTGAATCTGTTTCTCATATTGATCCATTTAATTTCTAAATTTTTTTCCGAAATGTGAAAATGCGCTAATATGGCATGAATAAATCTAACACAAGAGTTTTGAACAATTTGAGTTTTTATGCGAGTTTCTACGCCCAACTGCTATGGAATGGAGGTGGAAGGTACGAGAACTGTGGCAGTACAAGACTTTCACATAATTTTTTTTAGCGTCATAATTTAAATACTTGCGATGATGATACAGGATCTTGAGTGACGAATAGGCATTTTTATATCCATAAGCACCGTTTCGGAAACGAAATTTTGAATCGAGTATTAACCCAAGGTTATTTCCTCCTTCTAATGATTTAACGTTGTCAATTGTGTCGCTGGAATTATTGTAATTCGGGCCAAACAAAAGAAGAGTGGACTCTTTCCGATTAAATAATAATGTTTTTAATATACACAGTGTACATCGTCAATTTTAAACTTGTAGTATAATTTTGTATCGTCAGCGTACATACGGATTTTGCAATGATGGACACAGCAGTGTCTCTGGCCCAGTGTGCGACGGCTTCATCACCGAGTGCCTTGTTTTTTCAAAAGCTGAGAATACAGTAAACGTTCACTTTAATTTAAAGAAAAAATTATTCCACTTACATTGCAAAATCCTCTTTCCCCATCCTGTCAATTTACACTTGCTATTAGGCGATATTTCCGTGGTCTGCGACAGACACAAAGGCCCTATATTCGTGGTGAATCGCAGTTTTTCTCTCAAGACCAAAATTGCGACGTCGTTGTGATAAGAGCCAGGCTTGTACTCGGGGTGTCGTATGATAGCTCCAACTTTGACGATTTGGAAAGGTAAAGGTTCTTCGTCGATTCCAAGTTTCCATTCGCCACCTTTTGCTAGAACGTCGTTGGTATCCAATCTGAAATAAAATAGAGTATCCATTTTAGAGATTCAGTACATTAGTATGTCGAGTAAATCAAGGGTACTCATTAGAAATCCTTTGGATTGTCTTCCCCTGTTTCAGGGGCGGCTGGACCTTAAGTTCTGCAGAGCTGCAGAACTGCCAAAACTTTTGTCTTGACAGAAAAAAGCAGTAGTAACTTTTTCATCATGTCATGCCTCATATCGACATCTTGTTCAACCAGTTGCAGAAGAGAAAAACCGAGCCAGCACAAGTTAAAACGGCTATCGTAATTTTGAAAATGTATTTTCGATGTGAGAGATAAAATTGATGACATAATAAATGAACCCCAAGGCAACAAAAGGAGACGACGTAAAATAGCAGTCAC